TAATGAAGTCACAAGTTACTCCTGAGGTTCACCCTTCAGCCAAAGATTAGACAAGTCCATAAAACAAAATGAGACAAAATGGGCACACCAGCCCAAGGGCAAGGACAAGAAGGCAGGAAGGGACAGGAAAGCTGGTAATGGGGAACCCAAGGTTGAGAAGGGGAGGGTGTTACATGTTGCGGGCTTGGCAACCAATGTCAGAAAACAATATGTGTATTAATTATTTAATGAGAAACTAGTTTGCTCAGTAAACCTTCATCTAAAGTACAATAAAAAAATTAAAAATAAAAAAGAATGTTGCTTTCTGTGTGTATACCTATTCTTGACTGTTTATAAAAGTGGTATCGTGCAATATTTGTCCTATTGTGTTTGACTTATTTCATTCAGCATAATGTCCTCCAGATTTATCCATGTTATGTTTTGAGGACTCATCATCTTTATAGTCATGTAGTATTCCATTGTATGTATGCACTACAATTTGTTTATCCACCCATCTGTTGATGGGCATTTAGGTGGTTTCCATCTTTTCACTATTGTGAATAATGCTGCAGGGAACATGGGTGTGCATATGTCTACTTGGGTCACAGCTCTTATATGTCTAGGATATATACCTAGGCGTGGGATTGCTGGATCATAAGGTATTTCTATTTCTGGCTTTTTGAAGAAGCGCCATACCATTTTCCATAGTGATTGTACCATTTTACAATCCCACCAGCAGTGTATAAGAGTTCCAACCTCCCCACAGCCTCGCCAGTATTTTTTTTTTTCTCTGCTTTTTGATCAGTGCCATTTTTGCAGTGGTGAGATGGTATCTCATTATAGCTTTGATCTGTGTCTCTCTAATGGCTAATGATTACAAGCGTGTCTTCACGTGTTTGTTAGCCGCTTGAATGTCCTGTCTGGTGAAGTGTCTGTCCATGTCCTTTGCCCATTTTTGATTGGATTGTTTGTCTTTTTGTTGTTGAGTTGTTGGATTTTTCTATATATTTTAGAGATTCTAATCATATATGTTGTCACCAAAAATTTTTCCCAGTCTGTTGGTTATCTTTTCACTCTTTTGGCAAAGTCTTTTGATGAGCATAAGTATTTAATTTTTACGAGGTCTCAGTTATCTAGTTTACCCTCTGTTGTTAGTGCATTTTTAATTGTGTTTGATAGTGTATTTATGCCAAAAATTAGGACCCCTAGCTCTGTCCTTATGTTATCTTCCAGGAACTTTATAGCTTTAGTTTTAACATTTAGGTCTTTGATCCATTTTGAGTTAGTTTTGCAGCACTATTTGTTAAGGAAACTGCCTCTTCCCCATTGAATGGACTTCAACCCTTTGTCGAAGATCAGCTGTCCATAGATGGATGGATTTAGTTCTGGGTTCTCAATTCTGTTCCATTTGTCTATGTACCTGTCATTGTACTCCATACAGTTTTAATTAACTAATTTTTGGAAGTAGGCCTTTCTTCCAATCTGTCTGAGTCTGGAAGGTCCACTGAAACCTGTCCACCATGGGTGACCCTGCTCGTATTTGAAATATGAATGGCAGAGCTTCTAGTGTCACCGCAACATGCAAGCCACCACAGTAAAACAAACTGAAAGATGGGTGGTGAAAAGTCACGTAACGTTCACTAAACACCCATGATTGTTCCACGTTCGGCCAGAGAATGCCATTTCACACAACCACAGGCAGCTGATAGCTACTGCTAGACACTGTAATGCTCACATTGCCTCACGTTGATACCAAGAATGGATGTAGAAGACAAAAGATGATCTGATAGCAGAGTCTTACCTAAAATCTCCTGAAAGGTGTTCAGCCCTGCCCAGGTCCACATTCAAAAGCAGCTTATGCTTCTCACGTTAGTCCCCTAAATAGCCTCTCCTATTAATTCATTTATGCAACCAGTTTTATTGAACCCTACTATATTTCAAGGAGGTCCCTGGGTGGTGCAAACAGTTCGTTCTCAGCTACTAACCTAAAGGTTGATGGTTCGAGTCCACTCAAGGATGCCACAAAAGAAAGGCCTAGAAATCTATTTCTGTAAAATTACAGCCATTGGGGGACCTCATAACACCAAGAAAGCAGTGCCAGGAGCAGAGCACGTCCTTTGGACCCGAGGTTCCTGTGCCTGAGAAGCTCCTAGTCTGGGGGAAGACTGATGACGATGA